ATTCTATGTGCAATCTGTTTTATACGTTACCATAGCAACCATGGTGAATGACAAAAAAATGGGTAATAGGAGCATAGTTCAATATCCTAGCTACCATCATGTGCAATTTCACTTGAACACACAACATATTGAAAGAGATTTTATGGGGGGGCAAAGTGGCCATTAGAATTTAGTTTTCTATATACTAATCTCTTCTGTGGTGTCAAATTTCAATCTGATTACGAACACTGAAAAAAATTTTTGTTCCATTTTGTAGCTTAATATCTGTAGTTTCTAAAAATATATAGTTTATGCATATTTTGTCTTAAAACATGCCTGAAAACGATGGTTAAAGTTGGCCTAAGTTAAAGTAAATTTCGAGGTGAAGCTCCCCCTTAACGACCCTTGATGCAAAGTTTTCCCTTCCTGTCGATGTAAATCATCTAACCAAAGGACTTACAGCGTTACATACTTTCAATATGATGAAGAATGAAACACAAGAGATAAATGTTTGCCTTGACCATTTGCAACACAGCAGGACTGATAGCATTATCATTCAAAAAAACCTGTTCCAGTCACTGTGCAATCTGCACTGAATTACGAACTGTCTGTGCTACTTCCAGTGACAAAGGCCACACTGTTACCGAACCTGCTTTGCGACCTTGTGATTCTTGTCTGGAAAAAGAAATTCAGTGCATTAAAGCAGCAGTTGTGTGCGTCTCAGAGGATTATGAATCAAGAAATTCTGGTGCACAACAAAGAGCTTGTGAGAGTAAACGACGAACAGTCTGACCCGTTTTTACCAATCATATCTCCCATTCCTGATGGTGTACATGTTGCTAAGAGAAAACGGCAGAGTTTCTCAAATTGGTTCCTGTTAGTAAACAACTACCAAATAAATTTGGTTCAACTCGGGGAGCAAAGAAATGACCACGCCTTTCATTCAAAGCTAGCACCCTTGGTACCAATTAGTGCAGTTAGGAATCGTGATCGTCAAGATGTCGAATCTATAATGGAGAACTCAAGTCCATTGGTGAGAAAGATACTTACATATAATGCTAAAACTTTAACTCACACTGTGGTACTTGAGTAGTACAGGCTAAGGGAGGACAACAAAAGTGGAGTTTTAAGGCACCCATTGGAACATGCATGGGTCTCTTAGGACACATATTTGTCAGTCATGTTGTTCAAGGTAAGGTATACAAGGTGTGAGCGAATCACTATCCAGCAATTGTTACTGTGGAAATGGATAATTTGGAACATCATATTGGAGTTGCTGTTTTTAAAGACATACTGTACCATGTAGAATCTCAACGGAACACGATTGCCTCTAAAGATTTAACAGGGGAGACAGATGTCACGTATTTTTAACGCTAAAACCTTGTTTTATTCATAGATCGATCCGGCTCGATAGGACCACTTTGTTCTCGTAACTAGAACCGTCGTGATTAATCATCGAATAAAACAAATGAATTTTTAGAATTTAATATATAAAGAAAACTATAAAATGTTTTATGTATTTTTCTTGTCACCATGACAACCGTCCTCTCTCGCCAGTCTTTTTGCTCGGTCAAACTTATATTACGTCATAATTTTAAGTTAATATATTCAGAAACACACCATACCAATGAAGTCGTCACAATCACAGAAGCAGATACAATGAGGGAAACTGCAGTGACAGAAGCCTCAGTCGATGAAGTTCAAGATCAGTCAACACAGAGCGTAGTAAAACATGGGTGGTGAAACATGCTAATATTTGCCTGATCCATGTGTGATGCACAGGAGACCGGCGCGAGCATGCAAAATGCGCAGATCAAGCGGGATTTTTAAAGATGAAGAAGGATTTTTAAAGATGAAGCGAAGCAAAAACAAGAAACAAAAATATTTAAAGAGCAATCAAAAAGTGCAGATTGTTAAGATAAATATTTCTATCCTTAAAATTAACTTGTTATAAAGTGGAGACTCTGGCAATTAATTAGTATTGCAAATTACATCGCTGGAGTTGGAAAACCATTTTTAAACTGTGAAATTATTTGAAGGTATAGCGATTTTATCATAAAATATATTCACATTTTTCAGGCAATGACAAATTGTAGTCGAGTTTTTTAGCCAGACCGAGTGGAAAAATGTTAACTTCAACCCCTTTAAATTATTTATAATTAGTTATACTTTCGACCTGAAAAGGTTAGAAAATGGGCTTTTTTTAATTTAAAGTTTTATGACCAGGTCACTTGCGTAGATAGGCGTACGAGGCGGGGGGACTGGGGGTGGGAGCCCCCCAGTTTAGTCAGAAATATTCATTAGTCGGGCAATTTGTACTTAAAAGTCGGGCAATCTTCCTGTGTACTGACTAATCAATTTGGTCATTCCAACAAACAAATGTTATTAATAGTAAAAATGCGAAATGTTTAAAAATATTCAAACTAGAATTATGCTTGCATAAAGGTGACAAAAATAATTAAAATAAACATGCTTTTCCATTCGCACCACTGGCTATGTACCGTAACTGATTGGCGTGAGCGCTAACTAAACAGACACTCACAACTAATCGTGAAGAGACTTTATCATTTTAAAAGAAAATCATATATTGTAGCTGTTAATTGTAACAACGTTGTTCACCATGTAGTTATGAAAGACTGCTAGCGTATGTCAGTGTATGAAAAATATCACTCATATGTTGGTATAAATGCTGTGCTGAGTGGTTATATCACTACCTTAAAAAGTACTATAACCACTCAGTACAGCATTTTCACATTGGTGCTACCAACACTGGTACAGACAGTTTTAGTATATATATGTTGGTATACGCTGACATATGTTTCAAGCATGGTTGCATATGATGGTATATGCTGGCATACGGCGAGGCCCGGCAAGACAGAAAATTTTTTAAGCATGCTTAAAAATTTTGTGTGTATTCAGACATAGTTTATACAATAAACTTGCTCTAGGCACACTCTGAATCGGCTAGAGGTACAGTACGCTAGATGTATGGTACTCATACACTGGCATTTCAATGATAGACTCCAGTCTTCTATGAAGCAAATTCCATCTTGGCAACGATTCCAACTACGTCATGTTCTGCAGCAAGATCTTCCAGTGGGAAATGAAGGGTGAGGACGTACCTTTGTTCCACAATGGGTCAAGAATTTCTCTTCTCTGTATGGAACGAGCATATACTAATAGAACATGGCTCTGCAGCAAGATCTTCCAGTGGGAAACGAAGGGTGAGGACGTACCTCGTTCCACAATGGGTCAAGAATTTCTCTTCTCTGTATGGAACGAGCATATACTAATAGAACATGGCTCGAGAATGATATGGACAGAATCATTGATGTTTTTGGCCAACAAAGTCACCATGCCTCACATTTCTTTTGACAGTATACATAATATAATACCCGGGATAAAGTTGTAGGGGAGATTAGGTTAGGTTTTCAGTAAAAGTTACAATTATGATATTAAAATAGTCATCAGACATGGTCTTGTTTCATTAATCTTTTCTTCGTTCCTCGCCCGCTCCAGGCACAAAATTTCACCCCAAAACGCAGGCAATGGCATTTTAGAGGCTCTACATTTGGGGTCCCCTGGACCCCTCCAGCAGTTCTCCCGCCTTCGCCGCTCGTGGGGCAGATTGACATCCGCCCCCGTTAAATTTCTAAGCCTGTACGCCTATGCTTGCGTAATTTACAATGACACAACTTGTGACCTGGTTTTGATAAAGTTAGAAAACAATTGTCAATTTAGAAAACATTGGAAACATTTTCATAAACATATTCAGGCATTCAAATGCAATATAAAAGTTAGGGAAAATATTCAATTATAAGGAACAAGCAGAAATTTTTACTATATTAAAGGTTGTTTTATCTCTCTTTTCGAACTTACAGTATGCAACTGAAATGTCCAAAAGACTCCAAATTGCATAATTTCACAGCGATCTCGCAGTTTTATACTGCCTATTACTGTTATTGTTTTTTTTTGTGCTTTCTCAGATTTGTGAAAATGAAGTTACTGATTTGTACAGGAAAATACACCGTTTGAGAAGTATTAATTTTATTGAATACCACGGGCTGGTCAGTTAATCTTAATTTGCACATCTGAATGTGCAATTAAAATTTACAGGGCTTTTGAACCTTTTTAGCCAATCAGCATCCAGCTAGTAAATAAATTAAAATGATATTATGGCAGTTGTACATCAAATTCAAAACCACAGAATGGGCCACTCAGTGATGCAACATCAAGCCACCTTTTTTATGCACTTTTCTACCAACTAGTTCAACATGTTTATTGGCCAGAGAAAGCTATCGAATGGCTGCCAACATGCGTAATGTGCGGCTTCACAAATTTCAAAGGTTTTTTTTTCAGTGGCCTACCCTAAAAGGTTGATTTCAGATGCCCCCCCCCCCTTCCGCCCTTCAATAAAAAATTACTCATTTCTCTATAAAAAGGTGGGCAATTGTTGGTTGACATAAATCCACCTACAATAATTGGTCGTGTAAAATATGTTCTTTATAGACTTTACAGTTCTTTTGAAATTGCCAATTAGCCAAAAATATTTTTAGACAAAAGTTTGCTACTAGCATGCAATAATACCCTGCATTTACACCACAGCTTTTTAGTTTTCTTCACACTATTGTTTTAGGACTATAGGGTGGGCCTATGTAATGGTTAGAGCATGGTCACATGTTCTCTACGGGCATAGAGTCCCGAGAATTAGTTAAAAGGTCACGAGGGGCCAGAGGCAAAACTTGAGGGGGGTATGGGGTGGGGGGTATTACACCTCCCAAAATACGAATCATCCAGATTGGCAGGGCAATCAAAGATCTTGGATGTCGTTCTGGACATTTCAAACATTAAATAAATGAATTATGAGTACAACTTTAAATGATCATGTAGAGTTATTAACTTATATTACAGCTAGCAAACAATAAGCAGTTTGTATGCATGTATATTATTGGCATCGGCAGTTCAATTATACACATAGCTTAGTGATGTATTGTATTAGCACTGGCACTGCAGGGCATCATTGGTTTTGGCAGGGGCAATTCTGCCAGACACTCCCCTAAGTAAAAGGGGCACTCTTGATTAATTCAAGCCTAAGTGACTGAACACTAAGTGACTCCACATAGAGTCACTAATGATTCAATATTTTTATTAAACCTTTTATTTTCTTAATTCACCCCACATTTTTCCCACACTTCAAAGCCCTCACCACTTGAAGATTTAACACACTATGACATATAGAGCATTGAAATACTCGAAGCTGAGTGGGTGCAGTCATTCTCTAAACAATTGATGGGGTGTATATATTTTACTCCCTCCCCACAGTATGAACGTTTTGGGGAGCAACTTTACGAGCGCCATAAAATTTTTATAATGTATAGTTAAGTTCACATGTAGAACACATTGTATTGATTGACTGTAAATAATTATGTAATCTATCACAAATGAACAGTAACTAGAGGCCTATATCTATCAAGATTTCTAGTAGGTCTCTAGCCCAAAATCTTTAAATTATTGTAACATATTTTAAGTAGCTTTATTTTTTTATATATACATGGGAAAACAATAAAAAAGTACTAAGTCCAATCATGGATAATAAAATAAATGGATATCAAACTAGCTGACGTGATCTAATGTTTTCATTGGGCTGATGACGCGCGTGGTTGGATGTTCAAACTTAGTTGCAAACTGAATTCTCAAAAACAGCATGTTTAGCAATAGTACAGCAAAACATTTTAGTCAAAGAGAAATTAAATATAACTATGCCATTCTACGATGAAATCTCTAAGTATTCCCAGGCAATTTTATTTGAAACATTAAACAGTGAAAAAATCTTATTTTTATATTGAAATTGTGATTGCAGGACTTCATAAACGTAATCATTGTGTAATTAACAGTTATATAATGAATCAATCTGTAGCGATTTTGCATGGTAAGGAAAAATAAAGAATGAAATAACGGTTTTAAAAAGTTGAATCATGACCATTTTGTAACTTTCATTGTTTTATATATCTACATGCCCCTGAAATGGTGTGGATTCATTTACAGACTATTTGAGATGATCCTTGGAAAAAACCAGTATTATCCACATGACACTTTGGCATTACCAAAAAACAGATTATTTGCGCAATTTCATGCCCCTCAGACAACCAGAATGAAAGACGAAATCCTTGGCCAACTGTCATCAAAAACATGAAATATAAGGGTGATTTTAGTTACAGTTGCTTTTGGAATGGGTGTAGATATCTGTGCAATAAGGCAAGTTATTCATATTGGACCACCCAGGACAATACGCGAGTACTTCCAAGAAACTGGAAGAGCAGGTCGGGATGGAGAACCTTCAAAAGCTATTCTTTATTATAATAACAAAGACATTGCTAAGAACAAGCCTGGCCTTCAGGAAGAAGTATGGATGTATTGTAAACTAAAGGATAAATGCCTAAGAATTTCACTTTTGGAATGTCTGGACATTGAGAACGCTGTGTCACTTTTCCCTGGACATTTATGTTGTAGCATTTGCAAAAACATTTGTACAGAGTATCAAGCGTGTTTCGCGTTCGAGCGCGAAACGTTTGAGCGAGTATTGAGCGTCTCGCTTCTCGAATCGTGTTACCTATCGAGTTTCGCAAAACGCGATACTTGCTGTCAGACATAATGCTTGTACTTTGTTCTTTTAAACTGCTACCAGTCTTCTTATCCCATTGATTAAACAGCAAATTAAAATATACGCATACCATAACAGTGTAGTTTCTCTCATTTCACATGTTTCCCACAGCCCGCCATCAGAAACAAACAAACAAACACAAACGTATATTTCATCCGGTCGATTTGCATTTCAAAACCGTGTCAAATAACTGGCATGCAAATGGCGAAAATGTAACACTTGCTTTACTGTATGTGACAATAATATTGTAGTAGCTACTTCTCTGTTAATACTAGAAAAAACAGGTCTTCATTTCGGACAAGGGCGTATTTTGATCGGGATTAAAACAGCAGGCCTCATATTTTAGTTTTATGTAGTTGATATTGTCATACTTTACTTTTGTTGTCATACTTTATTTTCAGTTCATATTGTTATTAATCGGTTATTAATGGATCATTGAGGTTGATACAAGCTTTTTGTCTGTTTTGTTATTGAGTAATTAAAATAATTTCACTTCCTAAAAGGCAAAGCATTAATTCGGTTTGAATCTTTAAATTAAAACATGTGTATGTGTTTTACTGCTTCATTGACATGGCGTTTCAACTCTGCGAGCATCGACAACCTGTTACAGTTTCTATTACAAAGGTTTGTTTATAAATTATCTGGTTTTGAAATATTGAAAGAATTACCGCGATTCATGGCATTTTCGAATTTCGACGCTTCGTGAAACTGTGAATAATTTATGTACCACAGTGCTGCAAGACATCTACTTATAAAACGTAAAAGCAAGACAGCATCTTAAAACCATATCTTGTGCCTCAAACGTTTAGAAAAAACAAGGTAAGACTTCCATACGCCGACATGTATGTTTTTCGCTGCCATGAAGTTTTTGCTCATAAGCGATTTAACGAGCACAGTTCGCGAAGCACGTTTCGTGATTACTTGAAAGCAGTAAACAAATTATTCGAGCGAGTCATTGCGCGTAACGAGCGAGAGGTCGCGATAGCGCCCCTCGCAAGGTTTTGTGTCGCGTTTCTTGCTCGAACATTCTCGACTCAAAAAAAATGTATAGTTTCTGTTGGACGGTACTGTACATGTACTGAGTGCAGGCATGATGCCCTGCCACAAATTACCATTACCACATATTGTTAAGTGAATATTTTTAAAGATAGGGTACATTTCGGTCTGCACATGCATGCATAGGAGTCTCCTGCCATGATATAAACACTTTAATTAGGTTTTTATTCCATTTTATGTTCTTGCAAAGCCTGATTGTTATATCTTGATCATTTATTATACTGTAGAAGCTAAAGTTCAATATGTAAACAAAGGCTTTGTAAACAAAGGAAATGTAAACAAAGGCTTTGTTTACATAGGGACTGTACCCTACCTTTAAATAGTGATTGCTATTGCCATACACAAACGTAAAAATATGTTTTATTATCAATAGACAATACCCCTTGCACTTGTATCATGTTATTCCGTGTCATCCATTTGATCATTAAAAAGATACAACGCTGTGCCCTGTTTTTTATTGTTTTGGTACTTCAAGCAAGTCACCCACATATATGTTTACATTCAAATACACATTGATAAAGTTTATGTGATCATGATAATAAAGATGCCAATTATTAGCAGGCACCTGAAAACAAGAAAATAATCATTCCCTACATTTTGGAAGCGCTGTGTTTGCATTTGCTGCTAACCAAAACAACAGGATTCAGCCATTACAAAATTATGTTGAAAGTACGAGTGCTTGAAATAACATATAAATTTACCCATAAGTGGCAATTTAATTGAGGTAAATGCTGCCACTTAGTGGTCAATAGTAATTAGATCCAGTTAACTTACACAATTGTCACAATTGTACAATTTATATGCTGACTAAGTGACTGATCATCATCAGAATCATCATCATCCATTTCAATTGGTCTATGCTTGATGATATTTTTTTGTGTTTCTTTAGCCAGTCATGAAATGCCTTCTCATTCAGGGCAGCCAATGTGTCTGACGATGCAGATGGGAAACCTTCGTGAAAATGACCATCAATGCTTTCAAATGGTTTCAACTGCAGGAAATCTGCCAGGATAATATTTTCATCCTTCTCGGATGATTTATGCTTGTGGGATGATGCTGGTTTCTTAATCTTCATTGCCACATCAAAATTTCTTATAATTTCTGCTGCCCCCATGCTGCTTTGCTGATTCGTTCAATTACCTTTGGTGCTTTGTTTGCTCCCATTGATCTTATACCTTTTTCAGCTCCCTGTTTAAGTTTAAGTTTTCTTTCATAAGATCGATTTCTACCGGGTGTCCCAAAAAAAAGTACTCCGGTTTGATTTATAATAACTTCTAAACAAGTAAAGCTATCAAACAGAAATAACTTGCATTAAATAGAGGAAGGACTAACTTAGATGTTGATATATTACAGTTGAATGTTACTTAAAAATTCACGGAGATATTAATGTTCAAAATCGGGAGCATATTTTTGGATGTGTCTAAAATTAGCGAAAATCGGCATATCAAACATTAACTTCAGCGTTTGTTTGCTTGATGACATATCAGGTTAACTTGTATTGCAGCGAATTGTCGTTAGGGTTTGTAAGGGATATGGCGTAGATTTAGGCTTCTTACATGTAAGCTAAGTCTTAGCTCATTGTTTCCTGAAATATGAACGTACGAAATTATGCAAGTATATTTAATAGGTCTTTACAAACTTTACAAATGTATAAGGTACATGAAAGACCATGCAAGGCAGGCGCTTAAATTTTTCTTAGCCTAATTTTTTATGTTTTTCATGGGTTCAAAACAGAGTTGATTATTTCTCGGTTAGAGCAGGATGAATATTATTCTGCAATGAAGGAAATAATATTGCTTTTTGCAAATACACATCACAGTATCAACGCTACTATTTTGTTACGTTTTGTTCCAAAAATGTTGGATGTCTCCAGGGAGTTGCATGCTTAATTGTTATGGTATGGAGTTGTATGGTTTGATTGAGTTTCATTCTCAGTTTATTGTGAACTTAAAAAGATTAAGAAAAGGCAAATTAGTTTGAGTGTTCTTAACAAGATTTCAGAACATTGCAGAAGTTAGAAGAGCTTCACAACTGCATTGTGACAGCATGCCCTAATTCAGAACTACGAACGATCCATGACGATCCTTCGCGATGCAGTGGTCTCATGAAATAAGGAAACGTATTCGTGCTAGGAACACACACAGATTTCGGACGAATAAATCTTGCTTGTATTTTGTATATAATAATACAGACTTTGTTTCATAATATACACTTTGTCAAGTGTCATTTATTTACTGGTAATCGTGCATGTTTTAGTCGGGCAAATCTTGATTAATATTTGATACGTCATTTTTTGCATATTTCAGACACATCCAGAAATATGCTCCCGATTTTAAACATTAATATCTCCGTGAATTTTTAAGTGAAATACAACTGTAATATATCAAAATCTAAGTTAGTCCTTCCTCTATTTGATGCAAGTTATTTCTCTTTAAAAGGTTTACTTGTTTAGAAGTTATTACGAATCAAACCAGAGTACTTTTTTTTGGGACACCCAGTATATTGTTCCCGGAACCACCCCTCGAGTTGACTAAAGAGGCCCACCTAGTTTGATGGGCCTGTCTCTTGGTGAGAAACACCTTATCCTACAAGATGCTTATCAACATCTCAATTGCATAAGTATTATGACCACTGTGACTCTTAAAATGCTTCAACAATACCTTGCGGATGGTTGCCAGCTGATCCCCATCACCCAATTTGACTGCATCTTTCAGGCTTTTTAAAATGAAAAATAACCTAAGAAGACACAGTGAATACTCCTTGATTTGGTCGAGTTGTTCATCTAATGTTTGATTGGACTGGGAATCTGGTTTGGACAGCAAGTACTCATTTACAAACTTATCCAACACTGTGTCAAAGTACTGCTGGTAATCTGCATCATGAGGTGGGATATTCTCTTGTGGCCTGTCATCAACTTCAGACATGCAAAAAAAGTGGAGCAATGCTGCAAGGGTATAGGACTTGCCAACACTTATGAATAATTGTTCGCATTCTTCATAGTGTTTGATGTCTTGAGTGACATTCCGCCTTTGAAGTTTTTCCTGGAAAAACCTCAGTGTCCCTTTAGCTCTCCCAGAATTTTTGTAAAGCATCTTGAATACGAGCTACAATAATAATTAATATATGTTAAACATTACGTACAGTATAAACATTACGTACAGTATAAACATTACAAGCCGAACATTAGCAACTACTCTAGAGTGTAATATACTTAAAGTGGAAGTCAAGCCCGTAATGTAAACAAACGATTTGTTTACATTTTGAACTGCTGTATTTTTTAAAATATGATGTACTGTGTGAATATCTAACACTATTTTGGTTCGCTATGCTTCTAAATGAATATGAAATAGAGTTTATGTTCAGAAAAATTCGAAAACATACAAAATTTAGGCAATGTTTACATTAGAGGGTCCTGGTAGTCATTGGTCTTAGCATAGTTAATAGAGGACAGGGTTTGGAAGGCCGGCAAACTTCAAAGGCTTTCGAGCTAATTAATTTCAGATGTTGGAAAGGTACGTCACGTGACATTTCGGGTGCATCAAATTCAGAAATTACTATAGCGTAGTATTACAGAAATATACTATTGTGCTTATAAATTTTAAAATGAG